ACTCTGTATTTTCTCATGATATCCAAAGGCCTTGGTCAGTTCAGAGACATGCGGAGATACAAATCACAGAAACCCAGACTCATTTGGCAATAAAGTTTGTGTCTTTTTAAATTTAATTTTTTAAAATAGTTTTGGTGTTGTGAAAGTACACACAATTACTCTCTTACCCATTTTTAAGTGTACAGTTCAATGTTATTAAACATATTCACATTGCTGTGCATCCATCTATGCCTGTAACCCTTTTCATGTTATAAAACTGAAACTATTCCCATTAAAGAATAGCCCCATCTCCCCCCCCTGCTAGGCCCTGGTAACCACCATTATACTTTCTGCTTTTATGACTTTAATTATTCATATAAATAGAATCATATATTACTTGTCTTTTTGTGACTGGATTATTTCTCTTAGCATAATGTGTTCAAGGTTCATCAATGTTGTAGCAGATTGCACAATTTTCTTCCTCTTATGCTAAGTGCTAAGTCATTTCAGTCATATCTGACTCTGCAACCCTATGCACTGCAGCCTGCCAGGCTCCTCTCTCTGTCCATGGGATTCTCCAGGCAAGAATGCTGGAGTGGGTTGCCGTGCCCTCCTCCAGGGGATCTTCCAGAACCAGGGATTGAACCTGTGTCTCTTCTGTCTCCTGCATTGGCAGGCGGGTTCTTTACCACTAGTGACACTTGGGAAGCCCAAGGTACAGAGATATCTTTTTGTTTTTGGAGTGCCCAGGCCTAATATAGTTCATTTTTTACTGGACATAGTTATCTATTTCCAGGATGTGTAATGTGTCCCATGTATTTAACTTGTTGCTTTGAGATTTTGTGTCTTTTCTGGGAGACCCAATAATCCTGTGTCCCAAGGAAATTAAGAATTTCAATGGTGTTCTGATCTGAGGCCTCCACGGAGGGACTACACATTCGCATGTCTAAATACTGTAGAATAGCCCTTTCTTTTAGGCGTATTTCCCTTAGTTCCTTTCCCAGGGCCTGGGCAAACAAGTGTGGGCTGTCCCCAAACCCTTAAGGTAACACTGTCCAGGTGTGCTGCTGCATCTGGCCCAAGCGGGAGTTAGTCCATTCAAAGGCCAACAGATGTTATTCTTCCCCTTTAAGGTTGAGGAATATTCCATTGTATATATACACATCCATATATACTACATTTTACTTCATCCATCCCTGGATACTTGGGTTGCTTCCATATTTTGGCTATTATGAATAATGCTGCTATGACCATGGGTGTACAAAAACCTCTTCAAGACTCTGCTTTCAATTCTTTTGGGTATATACCTGGACACTGATTTATTTTCAGCTCCTAATAGGCTGAGTAACATAAATAGCCATACTGTTAAACAGACTGCTCATTTCAGATGGGCAAGTTCATTTTTCCTTCATTGAAAAAATATTTATTGAGAGCTTTCTTTGTATCAGGCAAGGGCTAGATTCTTGATCATAGGATCAATGATAGCAAAAATAACTTGGAAATAAATGATGACAGAGCATTTTCTTTGATTTGGAAAAAAAACTCCACCAAATAGAATATTGATTAACATTCATCTCTATGATAAAAGTGAAGATGAGTAGGGAATTCACAGAGTTCTTTCTTACCTCCATTTTTATTTCTGTTCTTCTGTAAAGATTCAGATGTCTTCTGATTAAGATGACTTGCTTCTCCATTATTCCATAAGGAAGTTCCAAAGAGTAATAAGTAGGGTTACATTTAAAGAATGGCATTTAAAAGTTTTAAATACAGTGCTGAATCTATGGAGTAATGGCCAAGAGATGGTTCAAAACCTCTTCTGTCACACTCACAAAGAATTTTGGGGTGGCAGGGTGGGGTGGGGGGAAGGAAGGAGTAACATGGGTATAAGAATTCCAGATCAATTCATGCATAGTTTAGTGACCAAAAATGTCCAGTGTCTCGTTTCATTTCTAGCTTTTGTTACTATCTTAGCTGCTCACTTAAAGACTTTCACTTGATATCTAAACAAAAGGGAAGTTTGGCAAGGGGTTTAACCATATGCAAATGAATTGTATCATTTCCTTCCAAAACAATGTCCTCTATAACAATACACTCTGGAAAACCAAACAGGATTAGGGAACACACAGCGGTCCCCATGGTTGTGCAAGCCTTATTGGCAGATGTAACTCATTCTCAGAAGTACTGAAAGTCTCTGTCAGCTACCATTGCATGTTTCATTCAAGCATGGTGGTGATATAAGACAGTGGCCAAACTGGCTTACTTCTCTGATTCTCCACCAAAAGGAAGCAACGGTCAGAGAAAGCCAGAGGGTAACCAGGAACCTAAGACTTTGCCTCCATTTTTAATAAGATGGAGAGGGAAAGGCCATTTGGGTCTTTGACATGAGGGACTCTTCCCAGGGTTGGAAGTGCAACAGTTTCCAGCCTCCTTGAGCAGCTATCAGGAAGATGGAAGTGGATGGCTGAGAGATCCTGTGGCTCCAGGGGCCTTTCATACTTCAAGTCTCCATTTAGCTGTGATCTCACCTATGAAGTCTTCCTTAATTTTCTAACTTACATTAACTTCCTTAATTTTCTAACTTTCTTCTTTGCAACCATGTCTTCACCCTGTCACTAAATATTATTATCTTTTATGTCATACATATGTCTAGGCTTCATAACTAAACCTCCTGAAGGCAGGATCCCCATTGGAGTCGCCATGTATACCTAATCACCCTTACTCTTTCCAGCAAAAACTAGGTAGTTAGAAAAATGTTAATGAGTAAGTGGGTAAATCTGACTGAAGAAGACCTGAGATTCCTCGAGTAAGCAGATAGTAGGTTACTAAGTGCAGAGCATTTGGTGCTTTTTGTGGTCTTGGCAGAGAGGGAGGTCAGGGAAATCCAGGGACAAAGTTGGGGTCTACTGGCCAAGGCCGTTCAAGCACAGACACAAGGAGCACACTGAAGCTGGGGTGTCGCTTCTCAAATAATTACACATGCAACCATTTGTTCCACATTTCATTAAGATGGGCCACCATGCCAAAATGCTCCCTTGGCATAAATAGTACACTTTTTCTATCAAGAGCTTTCTTTTGTGTTACTTTACTGAAAAATCAAAGTAGGCAGGCCTGCAATTAGTATCCTCATTTCACACGCTGGGATGCTGAAGAGAAGTAGGTGAATGACTCAAAGTGCTCTCTTCTCATATCCTTGGATATTTGCTTCCTCCTAACTAGGGAGGCATATTAAAAAGCAGAGACATTACTTTGCTAACAAAGGTCCGTCTAGTCAAGGCTATGGTTTTTCCAGTGGTCATGTATGGAGGTGAGAGTTGGACTGTGAAGAAAGCTGAGCGCTAAAGAATTGATGCTTTTGAACTGTAGTGTTGGAGAAGACTCTTGAGAGTCCCTTGGACTGCAAGGAGATCCAACCAGTCCATCCTAAAGGAGATCAGTCCTGGGTGTTCATTGGAAGGACTGATGCTGAAGCTGAAACTCCAATACTTTGGCCACCTCATGTGAAGAGTTGACTCATTGGAAAAGACCCTGATGCTGAGAGGGATTGGGGGCAGGAGGAGAAGGGGACGACAGAGGATGAGATGGCTGGATGGCATCACCAACTCGATGGACATGAGTTTGAGTAAACTCCGGGAGTTGGCGATGGACAGGGAGGCCTGGCGTGGTGCGATTCATGGGGTCGCAGAGTCGGACACGACTGGGCGACTGAACCGAACTGAACTGAATAATGAAATATAAAATTATTCAGTAACTGTGGTCCCTTTTTAAAGTCACTAAACATTGTGTATGTTAAAAATCACACAAACCTGAGTTCATACTGGGCACTTCACTTATAAGTAAGGAAAAATATCCACTAGTATATATTGATAATATGGAAATATGTTTGTATGGAAAGCAGTCTGTTTCCAACCCTTTTGCAATTGATTTTAAATTATTTAGAGTTTTCATTTTTAACAGGGATTATAATTTTAGCAGTTGCAGAAATATAAAAAGATGGCATAAAAATGTCCTATATATTGGTAATCTGAGCCCAAGAACTTTTCATGCTTAGCTTGTGTTCTGAGCTACAGTCTTCACAGATATAAAATTGAGCAGAATAGAAAAGGGAAATATTCATGTCAGCTGTTGAAAACTAGTTTGTAAGACAGGCCTAAAAGCCTTTATCTCTGGCATGTTCAGTATGGAATGCATAGCTGATTTTCATTCAGCCACCAGAGAAAAACATTCTACAATGACAGATAGCCTTATCAAAATTACAATTAGCTGGCTTCTTCTGAAATATACAGCAGTTGGTTAAGTAAGGCTGAAGTGAGAGCTCTTACCAGTTTTGTCAGAAATGATTCTCCATGGTGAATATTTGGCCAACTGGTTAGGTCTAGCGTGAATGGGTAATTTTCAAAAGAAGGAGCCGAGAACTGCTAACATGTTCCAAAAAAGCACCTATTAAAAACTAATCTCAAAGCAAATAAACCATCAATTTATTTAATTTTCAAGTAGATTTTTCACCAAACGTATTATTCCTCTAAGATTAGCATGGCTCATTCTGCTTAGATTGTTTACAGTGCTTGTTATTGTGCTTAAAATTTTGCAGTAAGGTGAAATAACACATTCCAAATGGTTTTTAAATACATGGAAGATGAAGTCTCATACTTACAGCATATAGTTTGATTCTTTTTATTCATGACTAATCAAAATTGTGTCTTTAAACAGTAACTTGATATTTTTCAAATTGTACTCAGAAACACAATTGTGTACCATTTATTTTAATACTAATACTTCTAGGATTAGCTTTATTAACAGTATGACATTTTCATGCATTCTTAAACTTCATACTAGTTTCAATATTCACAATGTTTGATTAAGTTCAAATCAACAACTAGTAGAGCCTACATGAGAAAAGAATGAAATGAGATTACCCTTTTTATATAATCAGCTAAATTATTTTTAAGAGTAAAAAGTTAATACTAGGACTTAAAAACCTAACTTTTCAATGTTACTGTTAATTCAACCACATGGATATTACTTTAGGCTACGGGACTGCCCATTAGCCTTTCTTGTCGGAGAGCGATTAATCTCTTGAACCATTTTTCCTCAGCATCAGCTTTCTCAATAAATAACTGAAATGAAAAAAAAAAAAGACAGAAGAAAAATGTCATTGCTTGCCAAATAACTTGGATTTGATCTTACAAATCATCTTTATACAATACATCCTTCAGCACAAGATTTAGATACTACTTAACTCTTGATGACTTCTTAACTGAAGATCATCTATTTGGAATAACCCTTGGAAAGTGAGAAAAAGGACTAATATAAAAATCATTAGCTATTTTACATTTCATTTTGTAAAGTTTATTTCCTACAAATTTTCTGAGAGACAGAGTGGTATGACCCTAATTCACAGAAGACAGCACAATATGACATTAATGACATGCCCACAGTCAATAAACCAACTGGAGCAGAGCCAGAATTAGATCTTTTAGTGCCAGATGAAAAAACAAAACAAAACTCTTCTTTTTTGTCAATTTTTCTTAACCACATAAAGAATCTTCTAGAAATCAGGTAACACAGGGTGGCCCAAACCAGATTCAAATACTGGTAACAGCTCTAAGGGCTGGGGGTGAGCTGTCTTATTTTTGGCAAATATGAACATATGAATCCATTTCCTCCAATGGTCTTCTTGTCACCAGCCCAAAAGAACAGCAGTCTGAATTAACTTCAGTGAACTAGACTTAAGCTGACATTCTTAAGGCTTAAGGGTCTTACATTTGGATGAGCCAGAGAATTGTCATCTTGGTACTTGATGGCAGTAGGGATGCTGCCTGGGTCTATTTCCTTCTCATTACTCGGCGGATCAGCCACCACTGATGCTGGTCCTGACGTGGCTGCTGCATGCTTCACTTCACTAGCTTCCACTGACTGAAACATAAAACACTTTAGATTTTTAATAATAATTGCTCAACTGGCCTCCTTTGAGATGATACTAACTGCAACATGGCCCTAGGATACTGAATAACAGACTATTCCTCAAACAAGCAAACAAATACAAAAAAAATCGTGAAAATGTTATTCTTACAATCAACATTTTTTCTTAAGAAATTTATACTTATGAGTCTATACTATTGAAAAAATATATATGTTACACATATGTAAATTCTATTAATCGAAACAAGTGGGCAACAAATCTCCATTGAGCTGGTCTCTTTAGGTATAAAAAGCAAATCTAAAGATTTTTATTACTATTTCTTAAATAACTGCCTTACTGAAATGTAATTCCATATCACAATTCATATTGGTTTTATTACATCAGCAGAATTCTGAAACTATCACTCCAAACAACTTAAGAACATCTGTATAATCCTTCTAAAAAAACACATACCCATTAGTAGTCACTGCTCCCCATTTCTCCCCAACTCTGACATCCCTAGGCAACCACTCATTTACTTTCTGTCTTTATGGATTTGTCTATTCTGCACATTCTATATAAAAAGAATCATACAATATGTGTTTTTTTTTTTTGTGTGTGTGTGTGTGACTGGCTTCTTTCATTCAACATGAATATCAGTATTTCATTCCTGTTTGTGGTTGAATCCTATTCCACTGTGTAAAATATTATAGGCCAGGTATTGTGCTCAGTACCAGGGACAAAAGACTAATAAATCATTGTGCCTCCTTGGAAAGAACCAAGAGTGTAGTGCTACTCAGGTTAATTTCAACATCTCCTTCCTTGAGGGAAGAGAAGGTCAGGGAAGTGCCTAATTAACAGCAAGGCTGTAGGGATAATATGAAATGAATGATGAGATAAACTAGACAAGAATTTGGAATTTAAAAGTTAAAATTAAAAAAGTCTAGATGATTGACTAGCCTTTTTTGTTTTCTACACCCATTGTTCTAAATCTATAGCTTTTCAATTTCCATGTTTTGTTGACTTTCCTACTTCTGAACATCTACTTTTCTGAATGAAGTGCAAAACAGATGTCACTGGGGAAAACATCTAGCAAACGAAATACACATGAATTACTTAATCCTTTATTAGAATGATTTATCTCAGAGTTGGAGATTCGTCTGTTTAACTAGTACTTACTAAGCACTACTAATTGCTTAGCACTGGCCACACCAGTGCTGGGGTGTACCCAGCACTAGGATGACAGGGGAGTGCTAGAAGAATAAGAAGACATGTTCCCTGTCCAAACTGAACATGACATTTTGCTGATGGGGTGACAGATCTCTAACAAAAAAATACCAAAATATATATATAAACACAAATTGTAACAAGTTACAATAGAGATGTTTAAAGAAATATTCAGTAAATTTGATTTGGAAGTTTTTTTCTGTTATTTTGCAGCCAATATATTTTTCCCTCGACCTCAAACTTTACTACATCTCCAAAATACTGGTCATAGAAGACTCATAGCCCTAAGTGATATTACACTGACTTTTTTATAAAACTGAAGACATGTAACAGGAAAACCCCATATTCTTCACAGAGGGAAGTGGGGAAGTATACTAGCCCAGTGAGGTCCAAGACACAATTTTTTAAAATTACGTGTTGCCATACAGGGAATAAAAGAGTATGCGTACATGCGTGCCAAATCACTTCAGTCATGTCTGACTCTGCGATTCCACGGGCTATAGCCCGCCAGGCTCCTCTGTCCATGGAATTCTCCAGGCAAAAATACTGAAGTGGGCATACAGTTCTGCATAACTAGGCCAGGCTATGACAGGGCTCAGCTAGGAGACTGGCTGTCCATATTGAACAACCTTGAAAAATTGTGAAGTGTTGTTATTCTAGTTGCCAAAGATGCGGACTGCACATGTTCAGGTGGCAGAGATAACATTCTATTATAAAAATCAAGTAATCTGATTTTGTTTTTACCTACACAGTACATCAGTTTTCTTCGAAAAGTGCTTAAATACACATAAGGTACATAAAGAAAACATAAAGTTCTCAGTGGTTAGGATCAGAACATAAAAGTTATTATTTAATAATTATTAATTTAAAAATGCATGAGGAAAGTGATTAATTGCTTCTTTAAGTGAGGAAAGCTGTTTTGGAGAAAATTTGACTTTTAAAAAACCCTCAATGTGGCTACCATCAAACACCTGGCTCTAAGTAGGACTGCCACCTGGTGGTTCAGTATGGAACAATTTGCTTTGATATGCACTTTATAAGTAAAAGAGCAAAGGACCATGCTGCTCAGTTAGGTCCCCTTTTGAACACTGGTGGATACTGGCCAAATACAACAATGTTAGGACTGAATAACTGATGATACGCTTATCTGTGAGAGTAGTCTGAAAACAAGCTGCATCTTGATTCCTCAAGTTGATGATATATCAGGAACTATCAGATTATCTATCTACTCACATTAGAGAAATAGGATGGTAGAGAGTTAAAACTAGTTAAATCAATGTGTTACAGGAGACACACCATCTAGCATGTCACTGGCGATAGCCACTTTTCTGGTAACATCTCCCTAGCTAAATCAGTGGAATTTATACAGCTGAAGACTCTACCAATGGAAGGGGTCATTAGGTTATACAAAAGCCTTCTTTAGAGATACAAATTTTATACCAATGTGTGTAGAATTGTCCAGGATGTTGAAACTTGGGTCATAATTTAATTTTCAAGAAAAGGATAGCCCATAAGATCTCCCCATGACCTGGGTAAAATGGTCCTCTAGATAATTTACCTCCCTTTGCTAAGTCATCTCCTGATAAATAATTCATCTTCTTGGACATCCTGAATCTTTACCTCATATTGCAGACACAGACATTTTAGAAAATGGAAGGGATATCACTTTCTAAACTAATAAATTGGCCCACTGTTTTATATTACAGTCCAGTGCGAATTTATGCTTTGCTGGCCCATCACTGCTCTTCTGATGATTTTGATATGCGACGACTAATACAAGTCCAGGGTTGGATAGCTAATATTTTATTAGCTTACTGTACATTTACCAAGGTAAATGCCATCTTCTGGGGTTTTTTAGCATATTCCCCTGTTAGGGTCACTTCAAGGCATGCTTTCTTTATACCTTAACAGGGAATATGCATTGAATTACAATTATGAGAGACATTTAATCAGTAGGGAAAAAATGGGTTGTGGTGTTGGACAAATTTGGTTTGGATGCTGCTTTCAATCATTTGTTAGATTTAACCATGCATTATAAAATGTTGAACCTCAGTTATAAATGTTACTAGGATACTAGTTAAATTACAAAAGTTAAATGTCTAGTATAATGGCAATCATTGTTTTAGTTAAGTTATTTAAATATATATTAAAAAGTGGGGCTAGGATACAACATTTGTTTTATACCACTTGCTTAGTGCTTTAACATTTCCAAATGGCTGTGTCAAAATAAACTTGTTCAAAGTTGATGTCTCTACATGAAACCAGTAAATTACTGTGTAAAGTAATTTTAAAACTCTTTGCTTGGTAATACAGTAGATCACCAAGCCTCAAGTAAGGAGAATTTTAGGTCTAGAGAACATAAAAAATTACATAAAACAATCTCTGGCAGAACTAAAACGGAAATTTTCGTGTCTAAAATCACTCTGAAGGAAGTCGCACACACATCCAACGCTTGTTCTTCAGTGATAGGAGAAGGTGGATTAGCAGAAGGAAGATGAGGCGTGGCAACAGCTTTCATTTCTTGAATACTTATTTATGCCAGGCATGTGGCTAACTGTTTTATGTAAATATCTTGTTCATTCTCATAAAAACCTCTGCTACAGGTATTATCCCATTTTAAGAGAAGAGAGTCGAGGTGTAATGAAACTTTTACATAGCTGAAGGATACAGTCAGCAAATGGCAGAATCAGAATGTGGTTCCAGGTCTGACTCTCCATCTCATGCTTTTGACCACTGCTTCCTAATTGCTAAACGCAAGATTTATTGTAATTTGGTTTTAATTTTAGAGGAAATAAATAAAATTAGTGGTAAAATATTTAAACTAGACATATTTCTAAGTGGCTCAACTCACAGTGCTGGATTAATATTTTGAGGCTGCTTCTGCTTCTCTGTCATTCTTATCCAACCAAAAGCTAGCCTGTTCTAATTTTATATCTTTCTATGAATTTTTGTTAAGGGGAACTTCTTTTTAAAAGATAGTTGAGACAGAAGGTGGGTTTCCCTCACACAGATTTATTAAGGTTGCTTACAAAATGAAGAGACCCCCTAGGGGTTCCATCCTTGTCCTCTTGATCCTTACCTGTGGCATCTGAATTGGAAGTATAAGAAAAGCCATATTGAAACTGAGTAAATTCCAACTCAGCACTAAAAACTAAAGCAAACAAAAGCTAATTATTAAAATAATTAATAACGGTGGTCCCTTTGATGAGAGAGGTGGGTGACATTCCTTTATTTTGCTTTCATAGGAAGCCCATTTAACTACACAAAGAGTTTGTTACAATTTGGGAAGAACAGTTTTTCTCTTGGATTTAATCAGTTATCTTAAGATTAATAACCATAGGAAATAATATTTTAAAACTTTTCTCAGGAATATAACAAGGTAGAAAAATTACTAATCCTGAAATTAAAATATATAGATATTATTACATTTATACATTTCAGAAGTCTTTTAAGAAATTCTAAAGAATTTTTGTGTTTATTAGCAAGGACTCTGATTTTTGCTCAAGTAGACTCAGGGAAAGTAAGAGGCATATCAGGGAAACATAAATGAAGTAAGGTTTATACTTCAGACAGATTGAATACCTACAGTAGAAGTTTTCAAGTTTTGTATACACTATACATACTTAGTGTATAAAACATACTTAGATATCAAATAATTTAGATGCTAGTCTGTATTTAAAAAATAAACATTTAATGGATTAAGAAACATGTTAGATATTTGATAATCATTATATTTAATCCTCAATTACTCTAGAAAGTAGATATTATTAGTTTAATGTTATGAATTTGGAAACAGAGGCTTAGAAAGAGGTTGAGGTTTGCTCTAGATCATAAATCATGGCAGGAAGTGTAAAAGTTAAGTTCCAAGTCAGATCTTGAGTCCAAAGTTCATGCTCTTTCCACTATATTAAACAGGATTTGGATCAATTTCCTCAATCACTGTCAATTTTACTAGTTACTGGAAGAACTGCTGTTATCTAGGAAGAGAGGAACAGAACTGCAAATAAACTTATTATATTAATAATTAATACCAAATGGGAAAAAGTTATTTAGAAGAAAACTCAGTGTATTAACCATAGAGGAGTAAGTATTTCCACAGAAAGAAAATACTAGTTTATCTTAAGTATGTCCAGTGAGAACTGAGAAGTCAAGGTGAACTCTAGAAAACAAATACTACTGAAGTCAACTTCAAAATAAATTACAATTCTACTAGGACAAGTGAATGACCTCACAACATGTACAAGTAAGATATTAAATAAAATGGGCAACTATATTTATGAATGTGTATTTCACAGCTCCTTTTTCTTCAGAGATTGTGGTGGCAAACTAAAAATATTCAAATGAAGTCAGCAAAATAAGAGGGCAGGGGCATGGACTAACCAAGGTTGCCTAGGGCATCCTGGCATCTTGCACATGCTCAGTTCATGTCTCCAGAATGAATCATTTACAAATATATATGGTAACTGAAAAGCCATCCATCTCACTAACAACAAAAGAAATGCTAACAGAACAACAAAAGGTCAATTTTTACCTATGAGGTCAGTAAACGTGAAAAAGTCTGACAAGGTCTTAAAAAGTTAGGTGTTAACCAGGGTGTGAGAGGCACACTTCTCCCTGTACTTCGGGGTGGAATTTGAACTGATACAGTATTTTGGGAGAATGACTTTGGGAACAGGTATGAAAATAAATAGTATTAACCTTTAACAGATAACTCCATCTTGAAAAATTTATCCTCAGGTGATAATAACGGATATTCACAAACATATATATTATACCTTCAAACTTACAACTACTTAAATATCTACTTATCAGAGGAAACAAAATGAATGAATTATGATATTGGGTTGGCCAAAAAGTTCACTCGGGTTTCCTGTATCATCTTACAGACGAATCTGAATGAATTTTTTTGCCAATCCAATACATTCATTAGTAGAATGCCATACACACAGTCATTAATATATCTACAGATACAGAATATTTTTGAATAAATAGTAACTATACCACATCTTCATTATATGTGTGATATTAAAGAATACATGTATTTCACAGCCTTTTCTTCCTAAAGAAACACAAATTCCAAAAAATAATCCTGATAATGATTGAAAGAATAAATCGAATACTCAACAGAAATACAATGTCAACGAAAGCTCCTTTTATTAGAGTTGAGTAAGTGATACCCATATATAGACAAAGAGTGTAGATAGATATACATTACTATTTGGGCAATAATTTTATTGTTAAAGTTCTTTTCTAACTTTTCTCTAGCAATGTCAATTCAAAAAGCAGATGTACCCATTTGAAAAGAAAATGGGGTATGTTCACAAAATGCACATTTCTGCTATAGAACTGTCATGTTAACATTTTACTTTGTCTTCTTGGTGAATTTTAAAATAAAAATACCATCAGAAACATTTTTACAGGTTTTTTTTTTTTTTAACAATTTAAACAAACTGATTCTCACTGATTCATTTTTTCTCTCAATAACACGCTGACACTCTCTTGCCCTACTTCATCTACTGGAAGAACTTATATCTAAGTAAAATCCATTAATAAAGCATCTCTTTAGTTGGAATGCAAAGGCTTATTCATAATGCCTGGATGAAAACGTACCTTTTTGATTTCTTTACTTGATCTGAATGTTTGCTGAACAAAAGAATCACTTTCAATGGCTTCAATTTCTTTGACTCTTTTTACTTGTTCTACCAGGGTGGTTTGGTCTAAAAGAGAGCATATAATGTCAATGCATTTTGATGTGTAAGCTTGTTAGCAGCACTATACCTAAACAATGTTCCTTCTATGAAGTACTATTATGACTTACGAAGTTTAACTGGATTAAAAAAAAAAGACATTATGGTTAAGTTATAATAGAAACATTTTACCCCTATAGATCTACAAATAAAACTTTCCTTCTCCAAGGGATCTTCCTGACACAGGGATCGAACCTGGGTCTCATGCACTGCAGGCAGATTCTTTACTGACTGAGCTACCAGGGAAGCCGCTGGTATAATGATCTATAATTATATTTACATTAATTATATGCTAGTTTTAATTAATTATATATTAATTTTCTTATTCTTATTTAATCTATCAATGGGTTTCCCTTCCATGGAGCTGTAAAGTCAGACACGACTGACTGGCTGAACGACAACACGGCATCATGCTGCTGCTGCTGCCGCCGAGTCGCTTCAGTCGTGTCCGACTCTGTGCGACCCCATAGACGGCAGCCCTCCAGGCTCCTCCATCCCTGGGGTTCTCCAGGCAAGAACACTGGAGTGGGTTGCCATTTCCTTCTCCAACACATGCATGCGTGCTAAGTCACTTCAGTCGTGTCCAACTCTATGCGACCCTATGGACAGCAGCCCACCAGGCTCCTATGTCTACAGGATTCTCTAGGCAAGAATGCTGGAATGGGTTGCCATTTCCTTCTCCAGTGGCATTATGTGTGGGATTTAATTTTAAATACTTCAGGTCTACCCCCACCAAAAATTGAATCAGGCATTGATATATTCGTGGTTTAGTTGCTACATCATGTCCAACTCTTGTGACCCCGTGGACTGTAGTATGCCAGGCTCCTCCAGCATGCCAGGCTTCCCTGTCCTTCACTATCTCCTGGAGTTTGCTGAAACTCATGTTCATTGAGTTGGTGATGCCATTCAACCATCTCATCCTTTGAACCCCACTTCTCTTACCCTCAATCTTTCTCAACATCAGGGTCTTTTCCAATGAGTTAGTTCTTGCCATGTTACCCCTAAATATTTTAGTAGGTATCTCAGATAAGGGCTTAAGGAAAAAAACTAGCAACATAACTACAATACTATCTTTAAATCCAACATTATTAGGAACAATTCCTTAATATCACCTTGTATAGTCCATGTTTAATTTTCATGATTGCCCAAGAAAAGTGTTTTTTGTTTTTTTTTTTTACAGTTGGTTTGTCTGAAACAGGATCTAAACAAAGTCCACATATTACACTTAGTCAACAAGTATCTTAAATTCCTTTTAATCACTTACAGTCCACCAACCCTTCCTTTCATTGTCACTTATTTTTTGGAGAAAATGGATCATTTAGCCTCTAAAATTTTCTATATTCTGGATTTTCCTGATTTTATTATCATGGTATCATTTCACATATTCTTCTATCCTTCATATTTTCTGCAAGCCAGCAGTTAGATCAAGGCAGGCTTAAGTATTAGGTTCAATTTCTGGTCAAGCATACATCACAGGTAGTGCTGTGTAATTCCAAATACATCAGATTAGGATGTGCTTCTTCCACTTTTAATGATGTTAAGATTGATCAGTGTGTTCAAGACGATGTCAGTCCTACCCTATTATTAAGTTCTCCACTAAACTTTCACTTAATGGTTTTAGCAGACATTAACGATTGTTGCTGAAATCCATTATTTCATTAGGCACTGCAAAATGGTGATTTTTCTTCTAATTCTATTATTTGTACCATATTTATTAACTCTGATCTAAAGAACTTCCCTCATTGACTATTTTATCACTGAAATATAGTCTGTACAGGAAAAAGCAGAGTGTTTAATTCTTTCCCTTTACTGATCAATTCTGGTCCAAAGGTGACCATTATGAGCTCATGAATAATTATATATTTAATGCATTTCAGTCTGTGGGCATTGTCTTCACATTTTGATTCTACCTTTGCCAAGTGGGAGCCTCTTGGATATGAAGAGTGGGAGAGTGGGAACACTCTTCTGATATGACCTCTTTTGTTAAGACTGGTAAGAGGTCCCATATAATCACAATGGTATGATCACTCAACTAGAGCCAGAAATCCTGGAGTGTGAAGTCAAGTGGGCCTTGGGAAGCATCACTACCAATAAAGCTACTGGAGGTGATGGAATTCCAGTTGAGCTATTTTAAATCCTAAAAGATGATGCTATGAAAGTGTTGCACTCAACATGCCAGCAAATTTGGAAAATTAAGCAGTGGCCACAGGAATGAAAAGGTCAGTTTTCATTCCAATCCCAAAGAAAGGCAATCCCAAAGAATGCTCCAACTACTGCACAGTGGCACTCATCTCACACGCTAGTAAAGTAATGCTCAAAATTCTCCAAGCCAGGCTTCAACAGTACATGAACCGTTAACTTCCAGATGTTCAAGCTGGTTTTAGAAAAGGCAGAGGAACCAGAGATCAAATTGCCAACATCCGCTGGATCATCAAAAAAGCAAGCGAGTTCCAGAAAAACATCTAGTTCTGCTTTATTTCTACTTTCTATGTCAAAGCCGTTGACTGTGTGGATCACAACAAACTGTGGAAAATTCTTAGAGGGATGGGAATACCAGACCACCTGACCTGCCTCTTGAGGAATCTGTATGCAGGTCAGGAAGCAACACTTAGAACTGGACATGGAACAACAGACTGGCTTCAAATAGGGAAAGGAGTACATCAAGGCTGTATATTGTCACCCTGCTTATTTAACTTATATGCAGAGAACATCATGAGAAATGCTGGGCTGGATGAAGCACAAGCTGGAACCAAGATTCCCAGGAGAATTATCAATAACCTCAGATATGCAGATGACACCACCCTTATGGCAGAAAACAAAGAAGAACTAAAGAGTCTCCTGATGAAAGTGAAAGAGGAGAGTGAAAAAGTTGGCTTAAAGTTCAAAATTCAGAAAACTAAGATCATGGCATCTGGTCCCATCACTTCATGGCAAATAGATGCGGAAACTGAAAACAGTGACAGACTTTATTTTTTTGGGCTCCAAAGTCATTGCAGATGGGTACTGCAGCCATGAAATTAAAAGACGCTTACTCCTTGGAAGAAAAGTTATGACCAACCTAGACAGTACATTAAAAAGGCATATTACTTTGCCAACAAAGGTCCGTCTAGTCAAGGCTATGGTTTTTCCAGTGGTCATGTATGGATGTGAGAGTTGGGACTGTAAAGAAAGCTGAGCGCTGAAGAATTGATGCTTTTGAACTGTGGTGTTGGAGGAGCCTCCTGAGAGCCCCTCAGACTGCAAGATCAAACCAGTCCATCCGAAAGGATCAGTCCTGAATATTCATTGGAAGGACTGATGCTGAAGCTGAAACTCCAATACTTTGGCCACCTGATGCGAAGAACTGACTCATTTGAAAAGACCCTGATGCTGGGAAAGATTGAAGGCGGAAGGAGAAGGGCATGACAGAGAATGAGATGATTGGATGGCATCACTGACTCAATGGATATGAGTTTGAGTAAGCTCTGAGAGTTGGTGATGGACAGGGAGGCCTGGCGTGCTGCAGTCCATGGGGTCGTAAAGAGTCAGACATGACTGAGTGACTGAACTGAAGAGGTTCCAGGCTCATCCTGTACAGTTCCTGTCTTAGACTTGCAATCAGCCATTTCCCCAAAAGGCTTGGACTCCTTTTAGTGGGAAATGATATTTATTTAAAGACAATAACCTGAGCAGAAGAGGTGTCCATTTTTCCTGGATTGACATTGCTTCTCATATTTTTCAGTGGGTGGGATAGGTAATACTTATTTTTAGAAGAGAAAAACAAATATAAGTTCATGCTGATGTTACCTTGTTGAGTCTTTTATATTTGTATATCATTCCTCTTATTCTAAGAATATTACTTAGGCTTTAAAGATATGATCAAGAGCACTTACTTGTTCTTTCTGAGTTGCATTTGTATTAGTTTCAAAATAATAAGATAAACACTACTATTAAGATGAATTATGCAGTTTAAAATTCATGGTTCTTCTTGATTTCAGGAGTTGTTCCACTGATGAACTGCCAAAACACTATAAAGTCACTTGGAGAAATAATTCTCCATGTGATTATGCTACCAACTTGATATATAACAGTTAGGTTCATTTGCTTCAGCTTTTTAAAAAGCTTTTAAATCTTTTGCTCTGTTGTTTTCATAATTAATATTTGTTTTTTGATTGCATAAAACATTCTTCTAAAGTCAAAATTAAAACATCATTCAGAAAAGTCTAGGTTTCCTTTCTTACCCCATTCCCCTAGTTCTTCCCCTAATCCACAGGCAACCACTTTTTATTAGGTTTTGATTTTTATCCTTCCATTGCTTATTTTTGAAAATATGAGCATACATATTCTCTTTTTTCTCACACAAAATTAGCATGCTATACATTTCTATGTATATTACTTCTCTAACTTAGCACTATGTCTTTTAGTATAGAGACTTGCTCATTCTATGTTAGAGATATACAGTAACCTATTTTATGGTTGCAGGATAGTTTTTTTCCTACCAATACCTATTGATGGTCATTTGAGTTGTTCCAGTTCTTTGCCTTTATAATTAGTGCTTTATTAAATAGCCACAGGCATGTGTCATTTCATATTTTTGTATTTTTTTCACATGCCAGATGGGCGGGAAAAAATGCAACTTTATGGATCACACTCTCATGGTTAGTCTAAGCTGAAATGAATACACAGCTGAATTAGGAGCTACTGAACACTCAGCCAAGGTATCTAAAAATGCTGGAATTTTAGCCTTTATGAGTAACTGAATTTACTTAAAAAACAACTGTAATAACTGGTTTAACAAGGTAGAACTGTTTGCATCAAAGCAATTTCTACATACTAAGCTGCAAAGGTTAAACGATACATAGAGAGTATAAAAGTAAATCTGGTTTAATATGCTAAAAAAATAAAAATTAACATTTTATGAAAAATCTTTGGTTAAACTTTTGGCCAATCACAAATTACAAGTATGTAGTCTTATGCAAGTTCCAGTTTAT